CAGGGGCGTCCACAACCTCAGGCACAGCCAGCCTTAACCCCAATGTGCTGCTCTAGTCTGATTAAATTTAAATTTATTGTAACTTCTGGCTGTTTTCTGGGAGGAAAAACAAAACAAAACAACCCACTGGGGCTTTTTTTCCTGGGAATTTTTATTAACTGGTTTTACCAAGCTTGGCCTCGCTTGCTCTTGAAGCAAAGGGTGGCCAGGTGCTTGGGCCAGCACTGGCCAGCGCTCCTGGCCTGCTGGGAGCAGGGATAACTCTTCCCTCCAGAGCTGTCAGAGCAGCCAGCAGAGGCTGTGAAGCAAAATTGCCATTATCAATTCCAAAATCCGGGATCAAATGCAGGTGCAGCCTGTCCCTGCCAGTGAGACTCAACAGGAGCTTCCCCACCACTTCAAAGAGTTCCCTGGAGCACTCTCATCCAAATCCTTATCTCCCTCTCTCTGCTCTCCTGGCCTCTCCTTGCTGCAGCTCCTCGTTTTGCTGAGCTGAGTCTGGTTCTGGCAGTGGGAGAGATAAAGAGAGATCTTCTGTTGCTTATCCTGGAGAAAGGAGAGGGAGGATTAGAAGTGCTTTTGCAGGTGGAGCTGAGGTAACCAAAACCTCCATTCCCCCTCTTAGAGAGATTGCAAAGGGGACTTGCTCAGGAGGGTTGTGCAAGGAATTCCCTTCGGTCTTGCCCTCGGAATGTGGGGGAAGCCCTGGCCCAGACACACCTCCAGAGAGGAAAAAGGGTGGAAATGGGTAAGAGGAAAAAGGGATAAAAGCAGGTGAGAAATGACCCTGCGTGTCCAGGGAGCAGAAAGGCACGGAGGGCACTGCAGGGGTGTGCGGGAGGTGTCCCAGGCCAGGCTGGACAGGGCTGGGAGAATCTGGGATACTGGGAGCTGTCCCTGCCCACAAGATGGGCCTGAAGGTCCCTTCCAAGCCAAATTTTGATGCAGTGAGGTGTGGGAGCAGTGTGGTGTTTGTACCCTGCACGCCCTGGGGGATCTGCAGAGCCAGGGATCCTGCAGGGCTGGAGCTCAGCGTTTTGGGAAGCTGGGGAAGGGGTGTTTTCTACCCCAGTACATCCTGTTACCCCACTGTGTCGATGCCTGGAGAAGGCTGACCCAGAACAGAAGGCTGGACAGAATTCAGAATAAAGCAGGGATTTATTGGAAGGCCCTAAAGGACACACCTTGGGCAGCACAAGAGCCTGGCCAGGGCTGCACCCAAGATGGACCAAAATGGACAACTGCTCACCAGGGCTCACATTTTTATAAGCTTTGGTCCATCTGCATAGCAGGGTTAATTGTCCAGTCACAGTTTCAGGTTTTGAAGTCCCATCCTTCTTGTTTCTCTCCTCAGCCCAGAGTTGTTTCTGCTTTTAGACATGAAACTTGTAACGATTGTCCTTGGTATCAATCTAGAAAATAAATTGTTTTGTCTGCCTGTTCTGTGCAGAGAGCTCCCTGACACTGAATATGAGACTCCAAACTGCACACCTGGGCAGGGCAGAATGTGGAAAACACGGAGGTCAAACTGAAGGCCTGTGTGCAGAAGGCAGGGAGCAGCAGGGCGCTCCCACAGCTCCCAGCAGGATGGATTCCGAGTTTCGCCGCTTGTGCAAGCCCCAGGCTGGTGCCAGGCCCACGGGGGGAGAGTGGTGCAAGCCAGGCCCTGTCAGGGCAGGGGGAAGAGCAGCTGGTTTGCCCCGGAGCCTGCAGGGAGCTGGCTGAGCCGCTCAGGATAAATCAGAGCGCGTTTGGGGCGTTGTGGTGGCAGTGCCACAGCTCTGCCTGTGCCCTGGCTCTGCTGACAGCACCACTTTGTGTCAGTGCTGAGCCCCAGCAGCGTGCAGGCGTGTCCCTGAGCACGGGGAGATTGCTGCATTCCAGCAGGGAATACTTTGGGATACACAACGCCATGAGGAAGGTGAGGCCTGGCGTTCTGGCAGGGCGCTGGAACGACGCCTCGTGAAAAACCAGTTTGATTCCCCTGCAACAAAAGGGTGTAGTGGTTTTACAGCCTGCGACTCATCCCGGCTCTGCTGGGGCTCCGCTGGGCTCGGTGGCACCTGTGCCAAGCCCACAGGACTGCAGGGTTACTCACCTGCCCTCCCCCTGCAGCAGCAGGGAGGGGCTGGAGAAAGCGGTATCGGGGAAGCAGCAAAGGTTCCAGCTCAGGGCTCTTCAGGGGGCTCCGTGGCTTCCTCACAACCAGAAAATCCCAAAAATGGTGCAGTGGCTGCTCGGACACAGGCTGGGCCGTGAGGGTGTCCCTGGGCAGGAGGCACCGTTGCCACGGGAATGTTTTGGTAGAACCCCCTTCCCAAAATATCGGCTGCCTGGATTTCCAGGGTGCAGCAGGCTCCTGTTCCTGAGCTCTGGGCTTACAGCTGTCAGCACCCAGCTGCTCTGGAGGTGGCAGAGCGAGGATCAATCCGTGCCAGCTGTGGGACATCTTCATGAGAAAGGGGTCTTGGTGCTCTCCTTGGAGAGGAGATCCCATGGAAACCCATTTCCTGCTAAAGTCAGCTATTCCAGGCTGAAATTTACTTTATAACAATAATAATTTAACTGGAGCTGGGGGGGAAAGGCTCTTATTCCTGCTCTCCCATGTGCTGTGTGTGTCCCTGGAGAAGCTGTGAGCTGGGATGGAGGACAGGACCCCGCTCCTGCTCTGGGCTGGGCTCAGGCACAGCTTTACCTGAGCCTTGGCTCATGGCTGAGGAGGGGGCCAGGCCTGCAGGGTGGGGCTTCCAGCCAGACCCTCTCAGATTTTAACCAGATTCAGTGGGAAAACGGAAAAATTCCCCTCTAGGATTCTGCTCAGGTCAGATGAGTATGAAGAGCTTTTGGTGTTGTTGACTTCAGCACACTCAGGTTTCCTCCAGAGGTCGGCAGGGCTCCAGGTGGGACCAGGATTGGTGTCCCAGAGCACCCTGCACCTGTGAACAGCTCCCTGCCAGAGACCTGGAGTCTATCCCGAGCCTCTGGTGAAGCTCTCAGCTCCTTCAGGCCCCCCAAGGCCACCCTGAGGTCACCCCAAAGCTTCCCCTCTCCAGCTGAGCATTCCCAGCTCTCCCAGCAGAGCTGCTCCATCCCTCTGCTCACCCTCCGGGCTCTCTCCAGCAGCTCCAGGTCCTTCCCGTGCTGGGGCAGAATCCCAATCCCTTTCCTGCTGTCCTCACTGTGGGAATGCATCTCCTCAACCAGCAGTGCCCTCCTGGGGTGCTGCTTTGGGAGCTCCTCATCCATCCCTCTCGGTCTGATATCGAGCTGTTCAGAACAAACACCATTTTTTATTTGTTTGGGGTTTTTTGCCCAGTTTCTGAGCATTCAGCGTGGAACTGCGTGTTCCCAGCGGGAAGAGCCAGAGCCCTGCGTGTCCCTGCCGTGCTTTGGGACCTCCTGTTCCTGCAGGGCTGGCCAGGCCGGGTTCTTACTCACTGTTATTTCAGGGAAGAACCCGGACAAACCTTCAGCAAACCCTGGCATGACTCAGGGCTTGCCGAAAATAAAGCTGCCCTGTCAGCTGGAGCCCCGGAGCAGAGGATGTTCTCCCGGGAAGGGTCTGGGCTGTGCTTTTCCAGCTGGCTTCAAGCAGCTCCCATTTCCCTGAGCTGGGCACCCCAGAGCTCAGGGCGCGGCTCTGGGAAGAGCCCGGCTTATCGAGCCGGGATCAGCGGCAGCCACAAAGCCAAGCTCAGCTGAGCCCGGCTCAGGAGATGGGAGAGGAAGATCTGGGGCTGGAGTAAAAATCCCTGATATCATCCTGGCTGTGCTGCTGGGAGCCAGGGCTGGGTTATCGGCCCTGTTCCAGCACATCCCAGTGGGGTGGGGTGGGGTGGGATGGGATCCATGGGATGGGATGGGATATTTGCCCATCATCCCACAGCAGATCCCGAGGGACACAGCAGGAGCTTTCCTTTCCAGCTGCTACAGGTTCAGCATTCTGGAATCTGCTGGAATTGTGGAGCAGGGGACAGGGGACCCTGCTGGGTGCTTGGTGGGGACTTCATCACCCCCAGGGCTGGAGGAGGCCCTGGAGCCCCTCTGGAGCCAGGCTGGGAGAGCTGGGAACGTTCACCTGGAGAGGAGAAGCTCCAGGGAGAGCTCAGAGCCCCTTGCAGGGCCTGAAGGGGCTCCAGGAGAGCTGGAGAGGGACTGGGGACAAGGGATGGAGGGACAGGACTGATGGGTTCCCATCACAGGGAATGGCTTCCCCAGTGTTAGATGGGATATTGGGCAGGAATTGTTCCCTGGACAGGGCTTGGAGCACCTGGGACAGTGGGACGTGTCCCTGCCATGGCAGGGGTGGCACTGGATGGGCTTCAAGGTCCCTCCCAAGCCAAACCATCCTGGGATTCTCCTGCTCTTCCCAGCCCAGGGCAGTGCCAGGCTGAAGCCCTGGCTCCAGGACAGCCCTAAACTCTGGGCCAGGCTTTAGGGACGGGCACAGAGCCTGTCCCCGGCCCTGGCTGTGCCAGGCTGTCCCCACAGCTGCCCCTCGGGCCCGAGCGGTGAGCAGAGCAATTAGAAAGGGAAATAAAGTGAGGACGAGCGGCAATTTCCCGTGTGATTATCGCACCTGTGGGCCCCGTTAATGAGCTCCGAGCACACACAATCAGTGTCGAGGGCTAATTACAGCCCCGCTCCCGGATGCTCCCGGGGTACCACCGCCCCAAAGCGGTACCCGAGCAGCACCGGGAGGAATTCGGGGTGAGCGCTGGGGGCTGCTCCGGGCTGTGCCAGCGGCAGCCGCTGGAGAATGCCAGGAATGCAGAGGAGAAGCCTACAGGGAGGGGAGCCCGTGCCGCCGAATGGAGAAACCTGTTTGATTCCCCTGAAGGGCAAAACACACCCAAAGTCTCCTCCTCAAAACAAGGCTTGGCCTCCCGGGGCCGGCCCTCTCGGCAGGGAAGGGCTCAGGTGTGCGGGCTCAGGTGTGCGGGCTGAGCTGTGCGGGCTCAGGTGTGCGGGCTCAGGTGTGCGGGCTCAGGTGTGCGGGCTCAGGTGTGCGGGCTCAGCTGTGCCACAGCCGCTGGCCGGACAGATCCGCGTCGGGAGCCGCAGCCGGGGAAACGCGCAGGTACGGCCGGGACCCTCCCTTCACCTCCGGGAGGGCGAGGAGGAGGAGGAGGGGGAGGAAGAGGAGGAGGGCTGTACTGTCCTGTGAGGGACATGCCGTAAATCCTCTTGTTTCACCTGCCGGGAGGATGAAGAGCAGGAGGGTGAGGAGGAGGAGGGTGAGGAAGAGGAGAGCTGCGCTGTCCGGTGAAGGACACGCCATGAATCTTCTTGTTTCACCTGCCGGGAGGGCTGAGGAAGAGGAGGGTGAGGAGGAGGAGGGCTGCGCTGTCCTGTGAGGGACACGCCAAAAATCCTCTTGTTTCACCTGCCGGGAGGATGAGGAGCAGGAGGGCTGCGCATCCCTGTGGGGGACACGCCAAAAATCCTTCTTCACCTGCCAGGAGGGTGAGGAAGAGGAGGAGGGTGAGGAAGAGGAGGAGGGTGAGGAAGAGGAGGGTGAGGAAGAGGAGGGTGAGGAAGAGGAGGGGGGGGAAGAGGAGGGGG